CCCTAGGCCCTTTTTTATGCAGGAGAATTATGTGGGACTCTCCCCACTGAATTGGAATGACGCCCGACTTGAGTATGTCGTTAAATGTCGACAACAAAAAACGTTTCGTTTTTTGTTGTCCGGCCCTGGAGCTCTTTCTAGTTTTTGAGAGTGTATGGCTCTCTTTACCTCTGCTATAAGTATGGGCGGTACGTCGTCATATCTATTTGTTGGCGACTTATCGGTTTCTAATTCATGGTCTTCATCTATATTCGAGTAGAGAGCTTTATAATATTCCGTAGCTAATTTCTGAATTTCTTTACGTTTTGTTACATGACTGGATTTGTTGCTTTTAAGTCTAGGAATCCATTCCTTTCCATGGTCCTTTAACTCCTTGAAAGCTTTTTTCGTTCCGCCTGTTCTTTTAATTGTGTCTTCTAGTTTTTTAATTATTTTTATCTTCCTGTCTTTTCTCATACTTTCCCGTATCTGTTTGCTAAGGTTGGAAATTCTGTTAAGGTTTTCTTTACTTTTATTTTTATTTAGAATTAGTAATTTTCTTTCTTCTAACAGCTCTAATGTTTTGTCACTGAATTTGTTCCTGTCCTTTTTCGTAATTAATTTCTTATTTTCTGACAGTTTCTTGTCCAGGTAATCGTATTTAACTCGAACACTCAAATCGGAGTTAGCAATTTCATGCAGTGGCATGATGTGAGCTGGTTCAATATTTTTCGAGTACTGTTCTTGTAGCAATATCGGAGTGTTTGTTATAGCTTTCCTCGACTTTTTTTTGGATACATCTTTAGGCGTCCGCGCACCAATCGGTGGTTAGTGTTGAAATTCAAATTCTGTATAACTTGTGCATCATTAAAATACCTTACTCTGTTTGTTAAAATAAAATCAATTTCGTTTTTATATTTCCCATCGGGAGACATCCAGGTCCATTTATTTTTATATTTTTTCTTATAGACTGAATTGAGTAGTGTCAAATTATTCTCTAGGAGGAATTCTATTAGTCTGTGTCCGTTGGTACTTCTCTTGCCATAGCAGTACTTCCCTAGTACGAATTCCTCTCCTGCGTCTCTGTAGCCAACTTGGGCGTTGAAATCCCCCATGATTACAAGGTTGTTGTTGTAATATTTCTTTGTAATGTCAGATAGGTTGTTATAGAAGTCTTCAATGTTCTCCCTGGCGGCTTGTTCGGTAGGCGCGTATACCTGGATGATTGTCCATACTTTCTTGTAGCCCGGTAGTTTCATGTTTAGTATTGCTATTCTGTCTGAAATTCCTATTAGCTCCAGTATGTTTTGTTTTAGGGATAGTTTTATGAGAAATCCTACACCTCTGTGTCCTGCTGTTTCTCCTTTGTGGTATAGGATATAGTTTTCATACTCTTCTATTTTCTCTTCCAGTCTTCTCATCTCACTTATTCCTAAGATATCGTAGTTTATTTTCTCTAGTGACTTTTCTAGTTCCAGCAGACTTTCCTGTGTTCTTAGTGTTCTTGTATTTAGTGTTGCGATGTTGATTGTTACGCGTGATTTTGTTGGAGGGTTTTGGTCTAGATCTCCCACGGGGACCAGCCGTGTTGGGAGACATTTTGTTTGTTGTGGTTCAAAATCTTCTGTTCTAATTTTAATTTTTCCGGTTCTTGGCAGTGTTCTTCTGTGTATGTTTGGTTTGTATAAATTCATTGTATTTGTTTTCCTTTGGTTTGGTGTAATGATGTCAGTTACAAGTTTTTTGGATCTTCGGCTGATGAAACTGTTGGAGCTGGTCTTTTTCGTTCAACATATTTGACTGTGCTGGGTTTAAAAATTTCTTTTGTTGCTGTTTTGTTAGGTGGTTGCAAAGTAATATTGTCTTGTGAGTTAACTTTTTTCTGCGTTGACAAGTTGGGTGAGTTTGAGTCTTCCCTTTTTCTCTTGTCACGGCCTTTATCTTTAGGTTTCTTTACTATTAGTTTTAGCTTATAGTGATGTCTATTTTTCAACTTAGTTTCCATTTTTTTTGACATACTTTTGAAGATGGTGCTCCGGCTTTTGTATTCCTAAGTCGAAGAACTCTTCCGCCAAAGCGTGTGACCTCTGCTCAGACTTTATCGTCACTCTTAAAATTTTTGCCACCTAAGTGCTCCTTTAGCTTTATTTTTTATTTATTTATTTTTTATTTATTTATTTATTTAACACCAACAAGACATACACTAACAAAAGCATAATATTTTTGCAAAAAATCATAAAAACTAAGCGTAGACTTAATTATAGGTGTTACACACATTTCATTACAATATAACACATAAAATAATATATCTTATATTATTTTATTTACTTGTGTCTATTTTATGTATTACATAATAAAACATAAAATAGACACAAGTAAAACATATGCAGTGAATTAAATTGAATACAAAAATTAAGAGATCAATAAATATATCAGAATTTAGTGTTATGTAATTAATTAAATTAAATCATGCATATTCCACTATTGTTATTAACATTAGAAATTTTATGAACGTTAAACATTACAAAAATAAAATCATTAATAAATTATAATATACAAACATTTCCTAATCACAATTTTGCTTAAAGAAAAATAATATAATTTTACTGTGAATTACAATTATTTGAGGAATATAAATGTAATAAATCACGTTTAAATTTCCAAAGAATTGTCAATATCAACTTTTCTATCTTTATTTTTGTTATCATTAGTCATTATGGCACCAATACTATTCTTATGTGATAATTTATATATAGCATTAAAACTCAACATCAGTCTATTAATCGGAGAATAGCGCGCTTGACGAGAACGTGTGCTCTTTTCTACGAATGGTATATAAGACGACGGCCTTTTTGACTTCAATGCGGTACGAAAATTTAATTTGGCTAGTAAGTAAGAACTATCAATGACGCCATTCACCAACTTATACAAGAAAATAAGGTCAAGGAGCTGTCTTCGATTCGAAAGTGGCTGAAGCTTAAAGTAATTTAGCTTATCTTCGTAAGTTCTAAGAGTTTTAACTAGGTTATGATCGTAAGATAAATGCAAAAGAAATCTCTTTTGTATCCTTTCAATTCTATGTGAGTAAATATTAAAGTGGGGATTCCATACTACGCTGCAGTATTCCAAGATACTTCGTACCATGGCTGAGTAAATAATTATTTTAGTGCGAGTATCCCTGAATTGCTTACAGTTACGGAAGAGGAAGCCAAGAGTCCTAAAACCCTTGTTAACAACATTATCTATGTGGATATTATAACGAAGCTTATTGTCAAGCATAACTCCTAAATCGCGTATGTGAGGAACTTCAGACAGAATACGACCATTAATGTAATATGTTGTTGCAAGAGATGTTTTCTTTCTAGAAAATTATAGCTTGAGTCCAACAACTTCTTAAAACGTGAGAGCACAGTCAAAGCCTTGCTCCTTGTGTCCTTCAGTCAGCATCCGCGGGACCTAGCGGGCACATACCTTGCGATAACCCAACGTTCCTATTAAATTTTTTTCAATTGTGCCGTGGGAAGCTTCAGGAATGCGTTCAACAAGTTCACAGACAGTGACCCTCCGGTCTTTGAGCAGCTCACTGTTGATCTTCTGCACAATTTCATCCGAAACCAGTGATCTTCCACTCCGTTCTTCATCTTGAACTTTTGTGTGACCCTCAGCATAAACCCTGCACCATTTGCGGACGTGGTGAATGGACATGCACTATTCATCATAAGCCGCAGTCAGTTGCGGATGAATCTCCATGGGCGGTAACTTCTTTCCGTGGAGAAATCGGATTACTGCTCGAAGCTCGCACTTGGCGGGAGTGGTGATCAACACTTCCATCTCGGACGGTTGCTAAGCAAATACAGAGCGACGTAGCGAATCGCGGACGGGCGGGCTTGAGAGTGGGCGCACGGCACTGTTGTCGAATTTAGCCTAGCACCTTCCCTCGAGGCTGTAGCTCATTGAGAACCTTACTTTTGGTACAACCCTCATATATCCTTATACCATATATGAAAAAATGAAGCCACAATAATCAATATGGAATGCCCATTATGACTCTTCTAATTTAGAGTAAGATTTAGCATTTCTTCTGCCCACTTAAGAGCTTAACGTATGTCTCATTTTATAACTGCAAAAGCCTTGACAAAGCTATGTCAACTCTTGCATATGAATATAGCCTTTGAATTATATGGCATAAGTTACCTGGCGTTTTCTTACCAAGTGGCCCGCTATGAAAACTATGTAAAACCACAGAATAATTATCGAAAAAATCGAAAACTGCGAGGCTGTGGTTGTGTCGCTAGTCAAATAAAGGTACCTAATTATCTGGATATATTCCTATAAATAATAATATCTTAATTTTCGGTATCCTTAAGAACAGTAAAGAATGAAAAGTCTCATTCCATTGTTATTTAAGCACTCATATGATATGCAGTATCTTTTGACTTTTGTAGGGATACTTGAATAAAAATTAAAAAATAAATATCTAAAGTGCCTAAATACTTATGAGAAAAATACTTTTTGTCAACATAAGGTGCGCGTCAGTTCAACCGCGCGAGTGACAACCTTACTGAATTAGTACTTTGTAGTGGACCGCGCAGTGTAGGTGGTGACGGGTAGTGAGACAGTCCTGGTAAAACTTTTTCTTAATTGGAAAAGGGTGATAAGCGAGCACACAGTCCACCTGATGTTAAGTGGTTGCTGTGGCCCATAGACATCTACATCTATCCTCGTTTGCGAATCAAAATGCAGATGCGTTGTTAGCCTTGAGGACTAAGATGGAATGCCTCTTCTTCAGTAAAAAAGGGTCTCCGGTTCTCTACTCACCGTACGTAACACAGCAGCATTAAGCTGCTATTTGATGCTGGTATTCTGTAAGAGCGTGGTCCTTCCCCGGTCGAGCCGACCCATTCGTGCTACAACTATACAATTAATATAACTGCAGAATGGCTCTACCACATAAAATATTACTAAATATTTTTAGTAACTTGACACAAATATATATTAAAGTAACTTATATTACATTTCAGGAACAACAAAAACGGTCCACATCCTTCATAATTCGGAACAGCCTGCCTCCGTGTTCTCAATTTTAGAAAGCGGCACAAAAAATATTCATGTTATTGCTGACGGATTATTTGATCTGCTTATGATGAAGCTATCTCAGCATTATACATCAAAGAAGCAAACTAAAATAGAGAGTAAAGGTCCCAGGTTCGAGCTGGGAGATTTTTGTGTTAAATTAGGCTCTGTGACAATGAATCAGAATTTTAAGGGAATACTTATTGAGGTGAGCTTGCAACTTACATCATTTATGCCCAAAAACTCAAATGTTACTCAATTTTAAGATGCCATTAATTCTCCTGCTGTCTCTATCACAATAAGACGAAATAGTATAGTGGTCACGAGTGAGGAGCGGCGATATGCTCCTGTTTTAATTGGCCGGCCCACTCGCAGTTTTATTGCACGATATTTATTTGATATTTCTTTTTATAATGAAATATACTCTTTTATTGGAAAATAAATCCAAAATTCCCCCATGTATTTAATGGTGAACTCGTAGACAGAATTTATTTGAAATCGATTTAATTACATTCGAATTACAGTTTCATTTGTTTTCTTTTTCCTCTAATGGACGTAAATAAAATTGTAGATTTTGTGGAAACTTTGCGATCGTTTTGCATTGATCCAAAATGTGTCAATTGTGTTTTGGCCATCATAACTCACTAAGGAAAATCTTTAACTTTCATAATGATTTAAAAAAAGGTAAATTCGTTGTTTTTTATAACATAAAATTGATTTTCCGCGCACCTATGAAGCGTACAAAATTTGCTTTTGGCGCCCATTTCAGCTTAAGTCAAAGTAACTGTGACCCCACAGACTTAACATCTTAATATTGAGTAGCATTTGACTATTTGACCATTAGTCTTTAACCTATTTATAATTGTGTATGTAATATGTCAGTAATAGGAGGATTGTTAATTTCAATTTTAAGTGCTGATTTACCACATGCTCGGCGGTGAAGGAAAACATCGTGATGAAACCTGCATATCTGAGAAATAAGAAAAAGTATATATATATTTCGAAGACATGTGAAGTTCGCCAACACACATTGGGGCAGCGCGGCGGACACTTCCTTGTCCTAAAACCCTCTTAGAAATGAGGGGTCTGTGCCCAGCAGTGGGACGTATATAGGCTGTAACTTTACTTTTTTTTAATAGGAGGATCGACAGTCTTAAGAAAGGAACTGTTATGATTCTATGAATAATGTTACCTATCTTAAAAAAGCCTTATCACAATAAGACTTTTTTAAGACTGCTATTTTTGTCTCTCCAACTACAATGACCAAGTTACCCAGTCTTCAAGGTGAGAGTGAATATGCTTCTGCATTACTACTTAACATCAGGTGGGTCAATAGTAGTCAAGGATTAGCTTTAATAGTTGAAAAAAGTGTATTGCTGGCAATATTGCCGAGCTATAGTTCTCAGCAAATTTTCAAGTAAGATGCAAAAATTTATATCATGTAAATCCCAAGTAACTTTGTCAAAATTCCTAAACACTACCAAGAAACTGAGAATTTTCTTTTAAATCACACCTACTCTTATTATTCAAATATGTTAATTACTCTTATCTATACCTATTGCTACTCAATCCCTATGCTCATGTACAATCATTTAAAGTATACACAGATCAACATGCACAAGTACACGCGATCAACTCGCATATGCACACACTCGTAAACCTGACACACTTTGATTTACTTACTCATACCCACTGAATGGATTCTGTAATACACCTTATAATGTAAGTTTTCATTACTCTATTTTGAATCTATTTCCTCTGTGTATATGTTGATCTGATTCCCTAAATTACTCTTATAATAGAAACAAGTACCTAAATAAGTAACATATTTACCAGGAGCCAGAGGGGTGGGGGAGCTGGTTCTGACACCTAACTCAGTTTTCTTGTATAAAACCTATAACAGGCTCCAGTTTCGCACAATGTTAGGTTTTTACTACTTTATATTTTCTTGACATTGATATTATATTACCGGGTTTTTCCCTAGGGTTTCGTTTGTTAATTCATATATCTTAATATATATAAATTACATGTCACGTTGTTTGTCCACGATGGACTTCTAAACTACTTAACCGATTTTAATCAAATTTGCACACCGTGTGCAGTTTGGTCCATCTTGAGAGATAGGATAGTTTTATTTTGCTCACGAGTGACCCACAATTTCTTTTTGCGAATTTAAGGATTTTTAATAGGACATGACAAAGGGTCGTCGAAAAGGGCAGAACAACGTCTGCCTGGCAAGCTAGTTGTTTAATAAAGAGAAAACGTTGAATCTGTACCATAATCTTGGACATAGACTCTTATCTTATCTGCAGCTTCATAAGATAGTTGATATCTTGCATAGCTCATTATACCATCAGCTATGCGTTGTTTCACATTATGTTTGCCTAAACACAGTTTCCACTCTTGAATATGCTTACTCTGATGACTGTCTTATTTGTGAGGGATATGAGTAGCCCATTGAGAGTTAGTTAATAAATATGGAAACAACTATTAAGCATTTTAACAATTTTGAAATAATTTTCCTCTCTAAATGGCAGCCCTTTGAGTGGATAAGGAACATTCTTTAAATAGTTTTTTACCATCATCATCATCATCATTACAGCCTTTTACAAGTTCTCTGCTTTTAACATAATCTGAACTGAACTGAACTCTGCATTTCATCAAGAAAGAGGTAGTAAGTCCTTTGAAAAGTCACTTTGGCTTGTAAGCAACAAAATCGTGTTCGTTGGGTTTAAACATAGGCCTCCCCCAAAGAATGTCACAAAGCACACAAAGTTTTTCTCTATAAAGTTATATTATTTACAGGTGGAATATCGACCATGTGTAATGGCGAATGCAGTATGGGGACTTCTCCGTGAATTTCTACAGGGTCTTTTAGGCCCATCAGTGCCTGTTCAACCTCCACAACATTTACTCAGTAGAATGAATGAGATTTATACACCAATAGACACAATATATCAGTATTTAGAACATTTTAGTGCTTATAGAAAGACAACTGGACTGAGAAGTGCGTAATCAATTTAGTGAACTGATATTTTGATGGATTACTGGAGTTTGAATTAAGAACATGTTTAATGTTTAGTGGTATGTGAGGATCAATTAAACTTTATAATTTCTTAATTATTTTTCTCATATATAAATACTTATTTAGAGATATTAGTTGATATATACATCAACTACATCGTATATCTAAATGATAAAATGTAAAAATATACATAAGATTAATCATAAGATATTTAACATAAAAATATTTTGTACATTTCATGAAAAAATTTCCGTGTGTCGCAGTAAGATGGTTAAAGCCGTGATATAGTTATATCCCTAGGGATATAGCTATATATAGTAATGTATAGTTATATGAAAGTAGTTCATAACTATCTTACTAGGAATATAACTATGATACGACCACGAGTTTAGTAATGTAACTATCTTACTGGACTAATACAGTGAAATAATTAGTATATGTTGACCAAGAATGTTAGTCAAAACTCATTTTGACTTATACTTTATAAATTTTTTAAATTAAAAAGTTTGTTTCTTTGAATATTATATTTTACATCATTATAATGTACGCGGCTTCAAGGTGACCCTAGGCCACCTCAGCCGCACCTTAAACCTAATGTCAAAAAATTAACATGAACAACTATACAACAGGAACTAAAGATCCAATGTCGATGTCGCGAAATTAGTTGGAGGATTCTTTTTTTAATTTTTACAGCAGCTCTTTTTAAGTTGCTTACAGATTTATCTCTTTGGTTTAGAATTTTTTTTTCATTGTAATATTAATTGCAATACAGTTGCGATCAGTGATCTTCACCACATGATGATACTCTACAAATAACATGAACATTTTCTACACGAGTGTGCTCCTCTACATTCAGTTTACTATTTATTTTATTTTATAGGATAGGGTGACAAACGAGCACACAGTCCACCTGATGGTAAATGGTTGCTGTGGCCCATAAACATCTACATCTATCCTCGGTTACAAATCAAAATACAGATTCGTTGTCACCCGTGATGACTAAGATGGAATGCCTCATTTCCTGTAAAAAGGGTATCTGGTTCTCTACACTCACCATACGAAACACAGCAGCATTAAGCTACTATTTTATGCTGGTATTCTGTGAGAGTGTGGTCCTTCCCCGATCGAGCAGACCCATTTGTGCTACAACTATACTACTAATATAACTGCAGTATGGCTCTACCACGTAATAGTAATTATTTCACTAGATTAGTTTGGTAAGATAGTTATGAACGACTTTCATATAACTATTACGATATATAGCTATATCCCTAGCAGTGGCGAAGCTAGGGTTTCAAACTAGATATGGTTTTGTTGTTTTTAGTAGTTTTATAAAAATACACAAATCTTGATCTGTCTCCACATGTTAGGGGGCGTCCATAACTTACGCGAGATATTTAAGGGGGGAGGGGGTCGAGTCAAATCTTATCTAATCTTACGTCGGAGAGAGGGGGGGGGGGTCTCTGCAAATATCACGCAATTTTTTTCCGATTGAAACAAAAAAAAATACTATTTTAATCCATTTAATCCAGATTGTACATGCTTAAGATTTAATCTTAAGCGTATATCGTATTACGTATTAAATACGATTAACCACTACTGAAATGTCAGATTATTAAACCAATTAGTCAAACCTACGGTCAAGCCAAAGAGTATAATAGGTTTGGCCAAAGGATTTTTTTTAATGAAGGAAAATATAACTTGGAGTTATTACCATACTCTTATCCAAAAATAAAAATTATCAACAATTAAAATATCGAATTATTTGTATGAAGGTCACGTGAGCGCTAGAGAAACGACGATTGTAAGACGTTGATAAATAAAATGTTTAATGAAATAGTACAGTAAAAATAGAATTTAACTTTGCACTAAATTTCAGATCCAATAATAAAATCACAAAATGCTGACAGATCCAGGTGGCGCTTCAAGCGCAATCTTGAAAATACTTTTCAACCGATATCTCGAAAAGTATGAATTTTGAGGTAAAAATATAAAAACCATTACTGTAAAACTTACCGTTTAAGATTTATGGCCCATTTAATTGAACCGGTTTTTCTATCACGGCCAATAACTCTTGAATATTAGATTAATTAATAAAATGCTTAAATCTGTTTTTAAAGATCAGTTTATTTTCTAAAACTTTTTTTTCTAATGTCCACACTTTTTGAGTTATAGGACGTTTAATGTTTTTTCTTCTTTTTAAAATAACAATCTAACGCGTTTACGTAAGATTTTGAAAAATCTCACGTGAGATTGGGGAATGGGGGAGGGGGTTGAATAAAATCTCACGACATCTCACCATGGGTGGAGGGAGGGACAGAAAATTTAAAAAAACACCTCACGTAATTTATGGACGCCCCCTTAGTTTCAAATTCAGTGCTGTCGGGGAAGTATTTAACAAAGTACACAGAAGGCTTATACCGCTAGATTGTATGACATATCAGAAATTGCATAACTTCCGTGGCTTTGAAAAAAGCCGTTTTGGGTTTGCTTGAGAGAAAGAAAAAGATATGTACATACAATGCAATACATAAACAAAAGAAAAGCATAAACAAAATACAAACAAACTATGTAATAATTAAAAAAACAAATTATTTATATTCTAAATCGAATCGTCTCTCTTTCTTATGTCGCCTCTACACGTTGGCCAACACAGTGGCGAATATATTGGCCGAGAGTTGGTGACGGCGTCCACACGTTGGAAGGTCGTTCAGTTTACTTTGGTTCGGGCCAATGTGCGGACGAATTTATTTTATTTTGCTCCTTGGCGCAGTGGTTTAGCAATGAGTGGCTGCGTCGGGAGCCGCGGCTTCGAATCCTGCACGTAACAAGTAATTGTATGGCCTTCAAATAATTGTTCCGGGTTTAGGTGTGTCCTTGTGCAATTTATGTTTGTAAACTGCCTCCGCGATACAGGAAAAAATCCTAGTATTAGGGGTTAAAGTTTTTATAAAAGAATGATAAAATAATAGTGAATATTAATGGGGCTGTAAATAGCTATACGAAATGTATGAAGTGCATATTGTCAGCCGTCAGGCTGATATTTGGTTTTACGTACCCAATAAGAAGTACTTTATTTTAGCCATGTAATATAAATCAGGGCTGTCAAAAACCGTAATTTATTTAATTACTTTAGCTTTTTATATAACTCAACTTATTTTAAAGTTGAAGGAGTTATAATCGATTCGTCTATGTTTTAAAATTGGGTTTTGATTTTAAAGTTTAGCAAAAGATGTACTTTCTTTATTCGATGTATATAATTTATTTGGTAATTTAATTATTTTTTGAGAAAGATAAAACAAGCAATAAATATAATTAATAGGTACTAATTATAAATTAGAACATAAATGAAAAACTCATGACAAGGAAAGTGGCTCAGGACCATGCTTTGCGGCTGTCTGTGGAGGAGGATGTTCAGTAGCCGACTAGTGAAGGACTGTAATGATGATGATGATTCGAAAACTTGCACGATTATAAGAAATTGACGTTCGACAAAAGAGCACACAGTCCACCTGATGGTAAGTGGTTGCTGTGGCCCATAGACATCTACATCTATCCTCGATTACGAATCAAAATGCAGATACGTTGTCATCCGTGATACGTAGTACTATTATTTATTCTGTGCCCGTGAGGACTAAGATGGAATGCCTCGTTTCCAGTAAAAAGGGTCTCCGGTTCATTACACTTACGATACGAAACAAAGCATCATTAAGCTACTATTTTACGCTGGTATTCTGTGAGAGCGTGGTACTTCCCCGGTCGAGCCGACCCATTCGTGCTACAATTATACTTCCAATATAACTGCCTGGTTCTACCGCGTATAAACGACGTGCTTCACTTTTTTTCATTTTAAAATTGTTCTCGTAATAAATTTTCATTATTTTTTTGATAAATATCTTATCGATTAAAACAAATGTTTAAAATAATTAAATCGCGCTAATTAAAGTAGTAGGAATGTTTAAAGTTGAAATTGGCACTAAAAGACTGGTAATTGGGGCATCCACCCTACAAAGCTTGAATATAAAATTTAAATCAGATGCGTGTAATCACTCTGGGAGCTTGTAGAAAACTAAACACGCGGCCAACGTGTGGACGCGGCGACCAAACTCTGCCAACAATCCTTTGATCTTTTGTAAAAAACCGACACCACACGGATCTCGCGCCAACTTGTGGGCCATCGTTCCAATACATACCAATGAAGCCCAAACACCCCGTCTACACGTTGGCCAATGCTATTGGCCACTACATTCGCCATTGTGTTGGCCAACGTGTAGAGGCGCCGTTAAAGAAATATTGATTACGTCTGCGTAAAATGTTGGTGAACGTTTTAATTGTACTAGATCAATAACTTGGCCGTTTGTCCCTTGTTGATGCTGTATATGCTTTTCTAACACGAGTTCGTACTTCGAAAGAAGCGGTACAAGTTATAAAAAATTGCCTCTATTTAATGAAGTTTTCGACTCATCGTAATTATTCTCGTGGGAGGTGGCCCCTAAAGGAATTACGGGGAATTGAGCGTAACTTTGTGCGCAATGTATAAAGGCCGCAAAGCCCGTCTAATAAGTAAAAATAGAAGTTCAATTTCACGCGTCTTTCATTCAATGAAAACAATAATATTACCCGAATGGGCTGGCTAAGCTGTTGTGTCAAGATTTAGTAAACACGGCGCAAAGTAAATAAGAAGTGACTGAGCTTGTAAGTTTTTAATTTCCAGAAAGGGGCGTGGCTTCGTAGGGCGCTTTGAATGGATAATGTAACAGTTGTTGCCTTTTGTGTAAACTTGTGTATTGAATGTTAAGTCAAATACAAAACAGTTTTTATTCTCTGAAAGTTCAACACGATGTCTGTATATTGTAATTTGATAAAATGTTTTCAAATATTGATAGTAATCTTGCAAACTGGGTTTTAAACTAAAAGAAAATACTATTGGTAAAATATATACAGAATTTTCAAAAAAATTGTCCATTATATTCACTCACAGTCATAACAT